GTACAGTGTTGTGATCATAGCTCACTGCAGCCTCAAACTCCTGGCCTTGAGCGATCTTCCTGCCTCATCCTCGTGAGTAGCTGGGACTACAGGCTTGCGCCAGCACACTGGGCTAATTTTTGCAGAGAGGGGGTCTCACCATGTTGCCTAGGCTGGTCTTGAACTCCTAGCCTCAAGCAATCCTCCCTCCTTGGCTTCCCAAAGCACTAGGATTATAGGTATGAGCCGCTGCACCCGGCCTTGGACATATGGTTAAGAGGGGAAAAAAGCAACTAACAGAAACAAGTGGAAAGTATTATTCTTTTGATTTTAAAAATTGCCAAGAAATATGTGTCTGTGTGTTCCTGTGTATATGACACGTAATAAAAGCATATCACAAGCATGACCTGTCCAACCCGGACCACTGTGCTGGAAAACTGCTCCTTGCCCCTTCCCCTCTGCACGCCTAATCCATTCCTCTGTTCTGCATTTTCTTTACTTTTCTTTTTTTTTTTGAGATGGAGTTTCGCTCTTGTTGCCTAGGCTGGAGTGCAATGGCACAATCTTGGCTCACCGTAACCTCTGCCTCCTGGGTTCAAGCGATTCTCCTGCCTCAGCCTCCCGGGTAGCTGGGATTACAGGCATGCACCATGATGCCCAGCTAATTTTGTATTTCTAGTAGAGACAGGGTTTCTCCATGTTGGTCAGGCTAGTCTCAAACTCCAGACCTCAGGTGATCTGCCCGCCTTGGCCTCCCAAAGTGCTGGGATTACAGGTGAGAGCCACTGCACTTGGCTGCATTTTCTTTTTTCATAGCCCATTATATCTTCTAACATTTTATTTATTTACCTATTTACTATGTGTATTATCTATATAAGTTCCTTCTACTGGAACATAGGATGGCTTGTGGCAAGGATCTTCAGTTTTGTGTTTGGCACACAGTAGGTGCTCAGTAAATATGTTGTCACTAAATGAATCAAATGATATTGAGGGAAGGTGAAGGAAGAAACATTTACTTTTTCCTTAATATTCCAAACAGTGATGAAATGATGAGTAATTTTTCTTCTTTTAAAAATAATTTTCTTATTTTCCTATAATCAATATGCATTGTTCTTACAATGAGAAAAAAAAAGTTTTCCAAAACATTCCCATTCTTTGGACTGGACCTTCCCACTTCTGGGCCTCTGGCCAAGCCAGTCCAACCTCTGGAATGCTCTCCGTAGACCCTCGCCTACCGCTTCTAAGCTCCTACTTTCCTTCTAGACCTAATTCCAGTCCCACTTCCTCTGGGAAGCTGCCCAGAACAAAACTGACTTCTCTAGCCTGCGTCCTCTCATGGCCACAGGGCCAGTGTGGCGGTGTGTCCAGATCTGCCTCTCATGAGAGTCCTGTGTCCATCTGCCTTCCACCTACTGCCAGCCTGGAGGGCAGGGGGCATTTCTTATCTGCCTCTTTCCCCATGTCTCTGCCTCTCTTGGTCTTCCACAGGCCTATCTCTGTCTTTCTGTCTCCCCCTGTTCTCTCTCTTCCCAGTCCTTCCCTCCATCTGGCCTTCTCCACTGGCGCCCTCGCTCCTGCTCCGTTGCCAGCTCCCCCATCAGTCAGGAAGAGCAGTGCTGAGCTCCACTCATAAGAGATTCAGAGGGGCCTTGGAGCTGCAGGGATGGAACTTCCCGCCTCTCACTGTGTCCCTGGCGGCTGGGTTGGCCATCTGCAGAGGCGCCTCATGACCCAAGGGGCCTATCCCTAGAGCAGCCTGCCTTCCAGTGCCGCTGGGAATGGATCCTGTCAATAGAGAGAGGAGTCTGCTGGGAGGCCCCTTAGAGCATTTTGAGCCAGAGGTCAGACGAAGAACAAATCCCAGGGCTTTGCAAAATAGCAAGGACTGGCACTAGGCGGAGGTCCCAATGAGATGCAGTGTGCATAATACTGAGTGTGGGGAGCAGGTGCCCAGAAGGGACTATTGAGCCCCCTTCTCCCCATCATATGACCTGGCCAGTTAAGAAAGCAATGTTATTCTCCTGGCAGGGCAGATTCTGGCCAGAGAAGGGACCAAGTGAGGTCCCTAATACACCACTTAAAATAGCAGAGGCAGCCCCTGAGATGTGGGGAAGGAGAATTTCAGCCCCCATCCTGCCCTTGCCATTGATTTACAAGGTAAGCCTCAATGTCCTTACTGGCACAATGGAGTAGGGGAGTTGATTTCCAACCAGAAGCCTGGATAAACAGCCACCTATGATACCATGGCGGTCACCTTGCCGCTTGTCTGGCTGCACAAAGCAGCTACTAGAGGTGTTAAGTCACAGTCAGGAACTCAGACCGTGGCGTCGGGAGGTGGGATCCAAATTTAGCTCTCCTTACTCTGTGGAGGTGTGGTTTGGGGCAAGTTACTTGACCTCAGTCTCAGTTTTCTGACCTGTAAAATGTGGGTTATGATACCTGATTCTTCAAGTTGTGAAAATCAAATGAAGTGACAGGCAAACCACTCAGCCCAGTGCCTGGCACATACTAATTGCTTGATAAGTGTCGGCTGCTGCTACTTTGCAAGACAGGACTATGTATTTAAAAGGTGTCTTGTGCCTTTAGGGCCAGCTTAGCATATAGCTGCCTTAGGAGTGATAAACACTCCAACCTCAGGCTGACTTATCCAGGGTGAAATAGCCCAAGAAAACGATCATATAACCAGGCCCTGGGTCCCCTAAATATTTATTGCTTCTTTTTCAGACTACACATAAATATTATGTGTTCCCTATAAAAACTGGAGCGCACACACACAACAAAACATATGGAAGAAAATAAAAACCACACGCTCAAGGAAGCCTGGGTTTGAATCCCAGTGCTGCCATATAGTATCATGTGACCTTGGCAGGTTTCTTAATTGTTCTGATCTTCAGTTTTCCCATGTGTAACATGGGGATAATATTGCTCATCTCACAAGGTAGTCATGAGGATTAAATGAAGTAATAAGAGTGAAGTGCTTGGCACTGTGTCTGGAATAAGTGAGAGTTACTATATTAATCCAGCCACTCAGACAGAATCACTGTTCTCACTTTTTGCATTTCCTTTCAGTTTTTTTCCTGCACATATGATGTGTGTATAATATTAACATTTGTATTCAGTAATTTGAGACCATAGTGCCTATTCCTTTTATATTAAAATGGTACATCTCATGAGGTGCGAACACCTGGGGAAGGCGTCTGATTTTGAACCTAGGAATGTTTGACTCCAGCACTTTCTGAACCTTTGTGTTTCAGTGAAGACACTCTGGGTTCCTCTACTCCTACTGGTGTTTCTCAATGTTTTTTCCGTCATTGTAATCCCCTCACCCTGCCAGAAGACTCTTTAGACTTTTTCCCCAATTACCCCCATACATTTATTTTAAAATGCTGTATTTTAAAATAATTATAGATCCACAGGAAGTTGCAAAGATAGTACAAAAAGCGCCTCTGTGCCCTTCACCCAGTTTCACCCAATGGTTGCAGGTTCCCTACCCAGGGATCCGCCAGAGGCGCCACAAAGGTCCCCTCGGGCTGCCCTTGATGATAGTCACACCCACTCCTCTCCCTTCCGACGTCTCTAAGTCCTGCCAACCACCAGTCTGTTTTCCGCTGTATAATTTCGTCATTTTGAGAATGTTATGTAAACAAAAATCTACCATACATGACCTTTGCAGATGAGCCTTTTCTCCCCTTTTCTCACTCACCATAGTGCCCCAGTGATCTACTCAGTTTTTGCACGTATCAATAGTTTATTCTTCTCATAGCTGAGTAATATTCCATGGAAGGGCTGTATCACAGTCGCTTGAACTATTAACACCTAGGTTGTTTCTAGTTCCGGGCTATTAATATAAAGATACTATGAACAGATGTAAAGATGTTTATGTGGATATAAGTTTTTATTAGTCTGAGATAAGTGGCTTAGGATATGATAGCTGGGTCATAGAGTAGCAGTTGTTTGCTTAGGTTTGTTTTGTTTTCTTAAAATAAACTGCCAAAAGATTTTCCAGAGTAACTGTGCCATTTTACATTTTCACCAGGGATGTAGGAGAGATCCAGTTTCTCTGATTTCTAGAAGCTACCTGGATCCTTGCCAGCATTTGGTATTGTCGCTATTTTTAATTTTTGTTCTAATAGGTGTGTAGTGATAGTTCCATTAATGCCACCGATATACTGTATATCTGTTTATGTGCTATATGCTTGTTGATGCTTTTTTACTTTTTGAGACAGAGTCTCACTCACTCCAGCCTAGGCTGGAGTACAGTGGTGCAATCACAGCTCACTGCAGCCTCTGCCTCCCTGGGCTCAGGTGATCCTCCCACCTCAGTCTCCCGGGTAGCTGCAACTATAGGCATGCGCCACCACGTCTGGCTATTTTTTTTTGTACTTTTGGTAGAGATGAGGTTTTGCCATGTTGCCCAGGATGGTCTCGAACTCCTGAGCTCAAGGGATCCACCTGCCTCAGCCTCCCAAAGTATTAGGATTATAGGCATGAGCCACTGTACCTGGCCCCTGATGCTTTTACATATTAAAAAAAAAAAAAGATAGGATTTTGTCATCCCCCTTCTCCTGCCAAGAACCCATTCTCTCCTCTTTGGGGTGACTTCACTCCCATTGAGAATGCATGGTTTCCCAAGCCTTCTGTTCAAGACTGAACCAGCTCCCAAGAGGCTAGGGAAACAGCTGGCTTGGACACATTTGGTGCAGCCCAGCATTTGAACAAGGCTACAGCCTTGAACAAATGGAGGATTAAACACTCTGACCCCAAGGTGAACTAATTCCACGGAGGCACTGGGGTGGGGACTTCTGCAAGTGAGATGCATGAAAATCTAACCAGCACTTCCCACTCGCCTCCTCTTGAGCTCAGGCTCATCTCAGAGCAGGGTTTGTCCCCAGTAGCTGGTGTCCACCATGGCTGTCACAGTAGAGCGGTGCCCAAGGATGCTCGGGCTGTGAGTCCCTGAATCAGTCAGCATCCCGCTGTCCTGACAACAGCTCACCATCCCCCACCGGACCCCTACTCACCCAGGCCAAAGTGTGCCACGGGCTCCATCTCGCACAGGTAGCCTGAGCCACCGTCGATGATCCTCAGGTGGGCCCCGCTCTTCTTGGTGTAGAGCACGACCTTAGCCCCCCTGGCAAAGGCCCCAAACCGGGTGCGTGGCACCACTCGCAGCCAGTTGTTGTTGAAGCCCTGCAGGGAGAGTGAGAGGTAGACACCCGGTGGGCGTCAGCGTGGTGGGTGGGAAGAGCAGGGAGCCAGGGAAGATGGGAGGGGGAGAGGGAGAAGAAGGAGGAAGAGAAGAAAGTGGGCAGAGGAAAAAGAGGGGAAGAGGAAGCCAGGCGAGAAAAACGAATGAGGCAAAGACAGATTGGCTGAATGAAGGAGAGGCATTGCAGATAGAGGAGACAAAAGTCGAGGGACTCAGGGCACAGTGTTTGGCAGAGAAATGATAGTGGAAGGCAGAGAGGCAAGGGCTTCTCCCAAGGTGGCCCTTCCTGAGCTTCCTGGTGCTGCTGGGAATTTACCTCCCTCCTCCAGGGCCCAGGGCTTCCATTACCCACCATGCTGGCCAAGCCAGCACCCCGGTGCCTTGCCCTCACCAACCTAAGGTACCCAAGAGCGCACAGGGCTGGGGTCTGTGGCTCCTGAGGTCTGAGCGCACCTGATTGCCCCGGAAGACGGACAGCGGCTGAGCCATGGACTCTCCATGGGACAAGATGAGGTCCAGCATCCCGTCTCCATCGAAGTCGGTCACCACACCCCCTACAAACAATGCAGATTTCACCTCTGGCCACCATCCAGGAGACCCACAGAGGAGAGATGTTCCCAACCAAGTGCAGTATCCACAGCCCTGGGTGCGGGGTCAGAGAAAGCGCAGCACCGGGGCAGGAAGGCTGGGGCTCGGCACCCATCTCCTATCCTTCCTAATAGCCGACTCATGATAGGACTCATGGGACAGACATTTCCTTCCTTCCCCCGGTCTTTGCATGGAGACAGTGCATGCAAATTACTCACACCACATAGGCTTCTTTCTGGTCTTTCTATTATGGTTTGAATAATACATGCCTGTTATATTTGCATAGATTTTTCTGTCAATTTATCAAGTGTTTGCATATACACAGGCTCCTTTTGGTTGTCATTACAACCCAAAGAGGTGAAGAGGACAGATATAATTATCCCCATTTTTTGAATGTGGAGAACACCCAAAAGGTAAAACCACTTTTCCAAGACCACAAAGTGAGGCAATGTCAGAGCTGGGTTCTGGGACTCCTGGCCCAGGGCTTTGCCTGACAAGCTGAGTGCAAAGAGGGGAGGGGTCAGATGGCAAGATCCTCTGCCTGAGAGCAGAAGGGGCTCACTCCTCTCCTTTCCGTCCCCACCTGGCAAGGTATGGCCAGAGAAGCTCCTGCCCACAGATCCACAGATTCTCATTCCCCCGGCCCCATCAGCCTGGGATTGGGGGAGTGGACCATCCTCCCCTCTGTTTCCTGCCTAGCCGTCCCCAGGGTTCCCCCATCTCCACGCTCTCCCCTGCTCTTGAGTCTCAGCCCTCAGTGTGGCAGGGACAGGAGGGACTCTGCCGTGGGACTGGCTGCCCCATCCCTCCCGCCCTAGTCCCAGGGTATGAACAGTGCTAAGGGGGCAGTGCAGGCCAGATCCCCCAGGTGCCCCTCACCTGTGCCCCTGCCCTCAGGCTCCAAGGCGTCCCCAGGATTGAGCTCCTCGATGAGGGGGTCTCCGTGCTCCCTACGGATGACGCTGCAGGAGAGGAGACAGGCTTGCTCTGGTGGGGTCTCAGAGGCCCCTGGACCTGAAGACCCACCTGCTCCACTCTGTCCCCTGCACATCCCCGGGTCCCAATGTGCATGGGCTGCCACCTGGCTGCCCACGGAGTCACTCCCTGCTCCCAGACCCTGCCTACACTCTGCCTGTTCCTTGCTTAGGTTTTAATTTATGTTGGTAAATATTGATTTTTCCTTCTCTAATGGATGAATTATAGGCAGACTGGGGAAGGGCAGTTGATGGATGAAGAAGGGGCAGGGACAGAACTTCCTTCAACCGACCTTCCTTGTCCTTCAAGTGGCCCCCGAGTTTCCTAGTTCTGGATGCTACCCAGGGTTTAACCCCACTCAGTGCCACCTCCTCCATGCCCTCCTGGACCATCCTGCTGGAAGCAATCCCTTCTTTCTTCATGGGCTTTATCACTTTCTGCCTGTGTTACAGCTCTCTATGAATGCATCTGATCTCCCCTGGGAGAATGTGAGCTCTTTGCAGGCTGGGACCTTGCATTATTCATCTTTGCATCTCTTGCAGTATCTAACACAGTGCTTGGCTCTCAGAAAGTTCCAAGCACGTGTCTGCAGGATATAAAGGTGAATTCCAGAGGCAAAGAGAGGAAAGGGGTCCCTTTGGGTTGCAGTGGTTCTGTCTGTTTGGAACTCTGAATTTTGGCATTGTTTCAGAAACGTCTGCTAGGGACGTCCTGCTCTTTCTCTACACTTAGCTGATGATGGCCATGAGCTTTCCTCTAGAATTGTTCTCACTTGGCGTATTCTCATAGCCTTGGGTGCTCTGCCCTAGATGTGTGGGGCAATGATGGGAGGGTAGGGCGTAAGGAAGAATTGGCATCGCACTTCCCACCACATTGCAGGTTGCCTGTGAGAAACACCAGAGGGCTGTGATACAGTCATAGCTTCAGGAGGGGGTTGGGGTCCCCTGAGCTGGAGCCTTTGGTGGCTGGGTGGCAGAGAGAGCTGGCAGATGCCCCATGAGGTGGGCTTGTGTGTTGATGTGCATGGGTGTGATGCCCACAGTCTCTTTGACCATTTGTGTCCTGCAGCCTCTGCCACAGCTGTGCAGAGACACTTCTTGGTTCAGGTGACAATGCGGTTAAGGAGTCCTAAGGATAACACCCAGCAATTCCACTGCATTTCTGTGTTCTTTGAACACATTCTTAGGCAGCAACTATTGTGTACAGGGCCCTGCATGAAGTATGGTGCACAGTAGAAAGGATGGAGCTCAGAGTCCGTGTTAACAGGAACCACCATTCAGAGGGCTGAAGGCCCAGGGAGAGTGGGACGTGGGGAGTGCAGAGCTGGGAAAGCTCACCCAGATTCGGGCAATTAGGGAAGGTTCCCTAGAGGAGGGGTCAGCTAAGCTGAGACCACCATGGCGAGTGAACACATGTCGCTCAAATGAAGAGGGAGAATTGGGGGCTAGAGGGAGTCGGCAGCCTGAGGGTGAGGCTTGGCAGAGCCCAGAACTGAAGGAAGCTTGCTGTGCCTGCTGCTTAGATGTAAACAGGGAAGTAGAAAGTGACGAGGCTGGAGACGGAGCCGGGCTATGTGGGTTGTGTCAAAGAGTTTGGACTTCATCCAAAGGCAATGGGGAGCTTCTAGAGGATCTTCGGTGGGAAAGGGGTGTGGCCAGACTTGCATTTTCTCTGCAGGACTAGAAACAAGGAGAGCAGCTGGAGGAGGTGCAGGAATCTCCATGGGAGACCAGGAGTGGTGTCATGGTGGTGGAGAATTAAGAGCAGATCGGAGACATGGCTACATGCAAAAGGGGGTGACCTTGCACACGGCGGTTGGCCTAGGAGTGTCCCTGTTCATGCATTTTTGCCTCTGTGATTCTTTTTCTTTTTTCCTTCTTTTTTTTTGTGCTGTGATTATTAAGAGGGCTCCCTTAAACTCTCATTAAGTGACTGTTTGGGTGATGAGTTCCCTGGATGCTGCAGGTATCATTAAAGGACGTGCAGACTCAAGCACACTGAGGCTTTGTGTCCCCACAGAGTGCCTGGCATGTTCCTGGAGAGCACCAGGGCCAACGAGCCGACGATGCCTGTTCAGTGACAGGTGAAAAGCCCCTGTGGTGTGGGACAGTTGGGGGTTAAACTTCCAGAGCTGCCAGCTGAGTGCCAGTCCCAGCTGCAGCCCCTCTTGCTCTCCTCTCTGCTGTGTGCTCAGGACCCAGCCATCTGCCACGGGGATTTGGGGCACAGCCACGTACCTGGGAAGTGGCTTCTGCTGCTGCGTGGAAGCAAACACACTAACCCACTGGGCAGCCACGTGGTGACTTGCTCTGTCCACTGACAGCTCTGGGCCAGCCTGCTTATACTCCCTCCCAGCCCTGTCTCCCGGCTGCAGGGGACACTGGGAGATGTGAAGCAGGCTGGATGGGCAGGAAGACAGGGGAGGTTCCTAGGTTCTAGAGCCACAGACAGGGGCACTAGATTCCTCAGTGCCCAGTCCTCATCCTCCTGGCGAGTGACACTTTATTAGCCAGAGAAGGAAAGCAGTGTCTCTGTTAACTAGCAATTGATCTTCTGCAATTAATCTGAAAGTTGTGAATAAGCTTTTTGCAAGGCACCTAATTAGTAAATCTAGCGCCTTTGGGGGGTGATTACATCCAGTCAGAATTGATGCTTTGTTAATAATTATATTTTAAAACACGTGTAGTCACACTCTTGCCTTTTAGTATAAATAGTTGGACCCTCCCGGGAGATGGGGTAGGGGTCTTGGGGGTCCAAGCAGATGATCTGGCACATGTCCTGGATGCAAGGCCCTGGCCCACCTGCCTTTTCCCACCTGGTCCTGAGACCTCTTGGAATGTTTCAGGCCAGGAACAGGGACATCTCAGGCCACATGCCTGCCCAGGACTCCACCTATCCAGGACTCATGAGGAGACCCTGAGCTCAGTTCCCCAACAGTGGTTCTCAAACTTCAATGTGATGAGAGTCACCTGGTGCCTACTGTACTTGTTAAAATACAGATTCCTGGGCCTCACCCCCTGAGATTCTAAATCAGGAGATGTGGGGCAGGTCCCGGGACTCTGTACTTTAAGCCCTCTGGGTGATTCTGATGCCAATGGTCTCTGGATGTTCCCTTGGAGAAATATTGCCACAGCAAATCCAGCCCTTCCTCCCTAGACACACTGCTCAGAGGCCTGCGCATTCCCTCCATTTCTGAGACCCTTTTCCTTGTCTACCAGGACCCCTTGTCATCCAGAATTTCCCAAAGGATGGTTTGCAGAACACCAATCTCAACAGAAAAATCTGTGAAAGAAGTGCCCTGTGATCAGGCCTATTTGGAATACTCCATCCAACTTTTGGAAAATTAAAATATTCATGGTCAAGTTAAAGGCACTGAGAAGTCCTGCAGTAAATAAACCTGTATTTACTTGGGCCCTGTAGCCCCTTTTCGTGGTAGTGATTGGATCCCGTAGTCCCTTTTCGTGGTAGTGTGGCTTTGTATCTTGTGGCGCTTGGGTTTTGGGCACACTTTGGGCCACATTCCTCTTCCCTTTCCCTGCAATAGCAGAGGCCAGCTCCTTGACCAGGCTACGCCCTGCATTCCCACAGCCTCTTGCCCAGTCCTCGTCCTTCCCTCCTTTCTGTTTCTTCATCAGGGGACCTGCATTGACCTTGGCCTGACCACCTGGCCCTGGGAACCCTCCCCTTCTGATTCTTAAACCTTCTCCCTGACCGTTCCTCCCACCAGCTGTCAAGGGTGAAGGGTCACGAGCCAGGATGGAGCATCTACCGGAAGAGGCGGTTGGCTGAGGAGCTGCGGTAGGCGATGTTGTTGAAGAAGATCTCCAGCTCCTGGTCATTGTCAAAGTCAGCGGTGATGACTGTGCGGACAGGGGAGGGCATGGAGAACTTGGGCGAGGCGATATCCTGGAGGAAACAAAGCTGGGGGTCAGCGGCAGGAGAGTGGGCTCGGGCAGGAGGCCAGCTCTCCTTTATGGAGTGTGGGGGCAATTAAAAATAAGAGGCAGCCCAACCAAACAGCTCCTCTCCTGCCTCCTCAAAAGGACCTGGGGGCTGCCTTTAGGATCACACAGACCTCAGGCTGCTTGTACCAGAAGAAGGAGGGAAGAATAACAGTCGTGATAGACACCAGTGAAGCGCTTAGCCGTTCCCTAGTCTGGATCACACCTGTCCATGCCTCCTGTCCATCCCTCGAGGCAGTACAGACATTAGCGTTCCCATTTGATGGGTGAGGTAATCGAGTCCTGGAGAAGGAGGGGAACTGCGATGTCACAGCTACTGAGTGGGGAGGCCAGGGCTTCTGATTCTGGATGCTGTGCCCTTTCTCCTAGGCATCCTTCCTCCTCCGCGCTGAGTCAGAAGCTGGGTGGGCCCGAAAATCTCTGTGCATCTAAATCCAGGCTCCACCACTGATTAGCTGTGTGATCTTAGGCAAGTTACTAACCCCCTCGGATCTCACCTTCCCCATCAGTAACGTGGGAATAATAATAGCTGCCTGGGTTGTGAGGATTGCATGTAAAATGCCTGGCACTGAGTGGGCATGGGACAGATCGCTGGCAGCCGGTCCTGCCTTAACTGCCACCCGCCTCAGGGAAGGTGAAAGAGGTTACCTGTAGCTGTGGATTTGGCTGCCTCTACTACCTTATGTTGTTTCTTGGGAGCCTTCTTATTTTTATTTTTTGAGACATTTGCTTTGAGGGGGTTGTGGTATCAGCTACACCTGTCCAGGACTAATGGGGAGACCCCAGGCCCGGGATAGCCCAGCTGGAACTCCAAAGTGCTGGGAGGGTCTTGGGGCACCAGGCGTGTTTTTGTGTGTTTTTGCCTCTGAAACAGAAGGAGAGCTGGGAAGGGCAACCTTCTATTTCTGAGTTTAATATCCTCATAGTAGGTGGGTTTTTCCCTTAAAGACCTTGGGGTCCTGTCCAAGTCCCAAGACCCACATGGAGAGGGCTGAGAAAGGTACAAGTGGTGTCTCTGGGAGTCTCCTCTACCCCAGGCTTGGGTCTGCTCTCAGCCTCCTGCTGCAGGCCCTCTTTGGCGGCCACAGGGATGAGCAGGCTGGGTCAGCAGTCGAGCTGTCTGCTCTGGGGAGGCCAAGGAAGGAGGCTGTCTCCATCAGAGCAGTAATGAGGTTGAATAAGCCTGGCCAGCTGGTCAGGGTGGGTTGAGCCGGGCCTGAAGAGCCAGGGAGCAAAAAGACCTCAGGATCTCTAGCCATTGTGATTCTATTGATCCTATAAAAATGGAAACCTCCCATAGCCCCCTTGGGGTTGCCCTATTCGATGCCCGAGCTTCCGAGATAATATATGTTAAGCTTAGCACAGTTCCTGACACATGGAAGACACTTGATAAATGGGACATTTATTTATCATATTTTATTTAATTATTATTATTGCTCCTGAGAGCTCTGGGGAGGGGCCATCGGCTGAGTTAACAGGGTTCCTCGCCCTCAGCGCACTGGCGTTTGGGGCTGGATAACTATTTGCTGTGGGGCTGCTCTATGCACTGCAGGGTGTTCAGCCCTGTCCCTGGGCTCTGCATACTAGATGCCAGGAGCACTCCCTTCCCCAGCTGTGACAAACCCAAATGTTCCGAGACATTGTCCTGGAGGGAGGGCAGCAAGATCATCCCTGTTGAGAAGCTGAGTGAGAACAAGAGCGGAATAAAGATGGAAATCGTCCAAGATCCCAGCAACAGCCGCCCTGGGTTCAGGGCATGCCTCCCCCCAACTCACAGAGCCTGGGTCTCAAGCCTTAGCAGGGAGGGAGTGGCTGGGCCTGGGCCTCCCCAGGTGGCTGCCTACAGGGAAGGGACTTGGTAGGGGTGGCCTCTTCTTGGTCACACAGAAATTAGGTCCCTGGGGACTTCCCTGGGATCATCAAGCCTCAGGTAAATCCTGGAACTTTCCTGTTTCCTCAGGGGTTTCTGGCAGACCTAGGTACCTGCAGAGCAGTCTTGGCTCCCTGAGATCAGCTTCAACCAGCCCATGCCCTCTGTTGTCCTCCCTGAGAAAGTCCCAAACCTGTGCGCCTCATGTTGGTGGCAGCTCCATCACTGTCACTAACAGCCCTTTTGAAGAATTCTTGGCATTGTTCTATCAACAGCTCAGGGAGGGGCACAGAGAGGGCTCGGAGGCCACCTTGCCTGCCATCTGCTGTTTGTCTTTAGGGGCAGCTGTTGGGAACTCCGTGGCTTCAATCTTCCATTCTCTCCACCACTTTGCCCTTGGTCTGAACGTCAGTCTGAAAAGGTCTGAAAAGCTGAGGCTGGGCTTTTGTGGAGTGTGCAGGGGAGGCCATCCTGTATTCCCTGCACACTCCACAAACACTCACCCTGCTCTAGCTTCTGGATCCATTCCAGGAGCCACCGGGAAAAGTGGCCTGGATCCAGATAGTGCAGCCCACCTCCCAGGGCTCCAGCCCCTCTCGGAGGCTGCTCTCCTGCCTCCCTCTGCTGACCTGGCTCTTCCTACTTTTGGCTCCAGAGCTCCTACAGCTGCCCAGCTGTAGTCCCTCATCCCCTGGTGTAACCTTCCTTGTCACACCACCCCCACCCTGGGCCCTGAGAGCCCTGAGCCCTGCTCATGCCAGCCTGCAGCCTGGTGACTGAGTGCAGTAGCAGAATCTCAGCTCACTGCAACCTCCACCTCCTGGGCTCAAGATTCTTGTGCCTCAGCTATTGGAGTAGCTGGGATTATAGGCATGCACCACCACATCTGGCTAATTTTTTGTGTTTTTAGTAGAGACAGGCTTTGGCCATGTTGGCTAGGCTGGTCTTGAACTCCAGGGGTGAGGCCCCTTCTTACCCGAAAGCGGACCTTCCCATGGGCACTCATCTGCAGATAGAGGCGGTGGGGGCCATTCCAGTTGCCATAGACGATGTCCACTTTGCCATCACGGTTGAAGTCAGCCAGGGCGACACCTCGCCCATGCTGGTGGGGGTCGTCCACACCTGGGGAGGAGAGGCAGGAACTCTCAGGGCGGCATCCCCTGTACACTCCACAAACGCCCTGCTCTAGCTCTGTGACAAGCAACTAGGGAGGGTGACTCTCACCTTATTCCCGGGAGGAGATACGGGAGACACAGCTGCAGTCTCAGAAGCTCTCTAGCTCTCTATAGGGGCAGAAGGTGGGACAGTCATGTGGTTCAAAAGAAGACCTGAGACTTGTGTTCAAGCTGTGTTTGCCCAGCATGCATATTATTTTTACCCTGTTTGGGGGCGGCATGAGTTGGGGGAGGGAGACTGGGGGAAATTCTGGAGGAACAAAGGCTCTTCCCAGCCACCCCTAACACTGCCACTGGAAGACATTAAGCTGATCATGCCACTCTTTTGCTTAAGCTGATCACGCCCTCCAATCCTCTTGGGCAAAGTTCTAATTCTTCTAATTCCTGCCTGGGGAGCACAGGGCTCTGCCTGACCATGGTCTTGTCCACCTTATCTGGTCTTGATCTGGTCCCACTCTCCCCATCTTTCCAGCTCCTGGGCCTTTTCTCAAGCTGGTCACTCTACCTGGGATGCTCTCCCTCTAGCTCTAGGTTACCCAGCTCCTGATTATTCTGCTCTCAGCCACAATGTCACCTCCTGCAGGAAGCCCTCCCTGACCACCCATCTGAGACAGCTCATCTTGCCCACCCTGTCAGTCTCCCTGACAGCCTCCTAGTCTTCTCCTCCAACATGCTGATCACAATGTGCAGTTATGTTCCTTTGTGGCTGACTTGTTAGGGTCTGGTTTTCCCACTAGCCCTGACATTCCATGAGGTCAGGACTCTCTTCTCAGTTCACTTGGGTACACGCAACGTCTATCTCAGGGCCTGTGGTTGCCTGATAATTTTCAGTAAATACTTGCTGAATGAGTGCACAGACATAAATAACATGACAGAAGGCAAACCCGGGACGTGGGTGACAGCAGAGGAAATACTACAACCACGACAGAGAAGCCCACAGCATGCCTGGCGAGATCTGGAAAGTGAAGCCTCTGTGCCCAATGCCACCTGCTTATACCATCCACTGAGTGGGTCCTGAGGGAGGACAGAGGGTGGCTTTGCCCAGAGCGATCGCCTGACCTCCTAGCGGCCCACTGGCCAGCGCATAGCTGAGAGACAAGGGTGAATGCGACTCTAAGCTCCCACCCATGTTGACTCTCAGAGGACAAATAGCTGTGGGTCGTCAGGCTCTCTGGGATGGCAGGCCACAGGACAATGTAATAGGCTGTGGGGATCAGAGACCCCAGGACACAGGGAGCTCTTGCCAGAAGGCAGGGTGGGGCCCCCTGAGAACCCTGGAGGCTGAGTGTCCTCCTGGGGGAGGGAAGGAGTTGGGGGGAGGAGTGGAGAGAAGAGGCAGTGAGACCCGGGCTTGAGAAAGAGGGTTTGCAGAGACTAGGGGCAGCCTCCAATCTCTAGGATTAACACTCCATTAATTCTCTGCCAAACTCCCTGGCCCAAATGTCGGTGGCCTTCTGCATTGGCCCATTTCTCTCCTATCTATGAGGCACCTTGACAAGGAGCTGGTTCCCTTTCACGGGAATAATCGGTGCCAGGCTGCATTTCACAGCAGCATCTGTTTGGGTGATGAATGCCCTCTTGACATGTCTTGTTAAACCCCTGCAATCATTCTGACTTTCAATTACGGGCCTAGCACCTTTCCTCTCTCCTCCCGCCTGATACCTTCTCCCACTCCAACTTGTTCGCTCACCTCTGCTTCCATCTCTTTAACACCTTATCAAATCCTCTAGATTTTCTCCACTATCCCCTCCCCTTTGCTTTATGATTTTTCAGCAATGAGAAAATTTGCTGCCAAAGGATAGCACTAGGAGGGGTGAGCCAGGTGGGAGGACAGGCCAGGGGAGCCCAACTTCAGCCTTGCCAGAGAGGGACAAGAGGTAAGGTAAGATTGGGGGCTGAATGGCAAAAAGCTGGGGGTGGGTGTGTGTTCTGGGCCAGTAAGTCCCCACAATGGAGCTCCTGGGCAGAAAGCTGGGGTGGTAGGTACTCGTAAGTCCAAGAATCCAAGAGAACGGACTGGCACACGTGCAGGGATGTGATGTGAACTGCCAGCAAGAGCCAGAGCTTGCAGGACCCTTCATCTACGTGTCTAGATCCCACTCACCACTCCTGCAGGCTAGAACTCTTCCCCATGCCTCCAAGAAGGAGGTGAAATCAAACCTCCCATTCATTGGCAAGGTGGGGGGAAATGGTCAGGGGCACGTGGGATGTAATCATACGTCCAAAAACTTGCAGGGTGTCCACTTTGCCATTCAGCAGAATTTACCGAGTCGGCACTGGATGCCAAGCTTTGTGTCAAGAATGAATAGAACCGTGACCCGGTCCTTGTAAAGCTCACAGACAGACCATGATGGCAATGTGGAGCCTGAGTGAGGTGTGCATGCCAGGGGCAGCAGGAGGAGGAAGGGCCAGTCTCTGCTAGTTGGCACAGGGGAGTCAGGAAAATCTCTGCAGAGGTGATATTTGAGGTGAACGATGAAGGCTAAACAGACATTCTGCAGGTAGAGATGGGGGAGGGCAGTCCAGGCAGAGGCCATGGCAGGTGCAAAGGCCCTGAGGTGGGTGGGGGATGAGTGCAGAGGAAGGAGGAGAAGCAGAGCTGGGGGCCTGGGGCACTATTTTGTGTGGCTTTTATCCTGCTTCTTATTAGAGGAGGATATTTTTGTCTATTTCTGTTTCTAGAATGTCAATGCCTTTTCTGTGTGTGGGGTGGTCTTAGCCTGATTCAAGTGGGCATCCCTGGTTCCCAGTGCCAACCTGATGCTTAGCAGGGGCTCCATGAATGCTCACTGTATTGAACTGAATGTTGAAGATAAATGTGGGAGGGGCCAAGGTGGGGAGAGGCAGCTTGGAGGATAGGTTGATGCTGAGAGACACAAGCAGGACTTGGAGGGTCGTGGGCAATCTCAGATATTGGGCAGGACAATGGGCAGGAGTTTCAGACCCCTTTCCCCAGCAGCAAACACTCCCTGTGGCTGGAGCCATGGGAGCTAGGGAATAGGAAGTGACAAGCAGCGTTTCTCTTGTGTGGTGCAGACGATGACTTGTCCTGCTCTCCCTGCAGCCAGAAGAGACCATGCTGGAGGGGGCAGGGAAGTCTGGAGTCCTCTGTGGTTCTGGGGTGAGGGGTCAGGGCGCACAGGGCATGGCTGCCTCCACTCACCCGCACTGGCCGCAGCGTCCACAAAGGTGCCATCGCCCCGGTTGTGGAAAAGGAAATTAGGCCCATTCTCGTTGTCGCAGAAGATATCTGAGGCACTGCTGCTGAGGATGGGGCCCACGCTGACGCCTCGGCCCCCTAGGAAAAGACATCGACCCACAGTGAGCGGCAGAAGCAAAGCCCCAGGCCCACCTGGAGGACAGGGCTGCCTCTGAGGCCTGGGGGGAACTGCACTGGAGGCTCCTCAGAGGAGCCCGGAGGGAATTCTCCTTCCCGTGCTTTCCTGAGCCTAAATCTGGGCTCACGGTCTCCATGAACCTGCGTGGAAGGTGAGAACACTGATGAAGAGGGAAGGAAGGAGCTTGACAGGACATGGGGACCCCACACAGAGGTCAGCGCCTGCCTTCCCCTTCTAAGAGAAGTGGCTGAACAATCATCTTAAATCCTAAACCCACAATAATCCTAAACCCAGCTCTAAGCATGCCACTTTAGTCAGGTCACAGATCCCCCAACAGCCTCCTGACTCCCACTTTGAGTCATACGTATGCTGGTCAAGACCACTGGGTATGTCCCAGCTTTAAGAACCTGTAGGAACAGGTCCCAGCTGTAGGTACGAGGATGCTTACTTTGCCTTGTTTGACGTTAAACAATTACGTCCATTGATAGTGAAGGAGTTGAACGGAGTATGGAGCATCCATATGACAAACCATTCTGCAGTAAAAAGACTGCATAGATCCATATGGATTGACTTGGAGGAGTGCCTGTGATATATGGTTGAAAGAATCAGCAGTTCACCAAGTAATGGTATTGTGTGATCTTGCTTTTATTTTTTAAAATAGGAAAATACATGCTAGTTCTAGATACACACGTTTGTGCAGGCTTATTCAGTTTGGAGAAAAGCGGGAAAGGCCACACCCCAAGCTGTGAACACTGGCTACCTTCCTTGATGGGGTAGGATTTGGGGAGGGAAAGAGAAACGATAGTTGGCCTTTTTTCTTTGAATGTCTTTGTAGTGTTTGACTTGTTGCAACAAGAACTGCTTCTGTAGTTTGAAAGGAAGAAATCCAATAAAGTATATATGTTTTTTAAAAAGGAAAGAAATCAAGCCAGCTCCACATTGGGCTTTGAAGTCTCTAAGATCAAATTTGAGCTATCTATGTCAAGAAGTCTAGCCTTAATACGTCCTGAACAAACCACCCCCACCCAGTGGGTTTCAAATGAAGGCTCTCTGCTTGCCAGGCCCCACCTGCAGCTCCCAGGAACACAAATCTGCCCTGAGAAAGCCTTCCCTGAGCCACGCCCCCAAACACTGGAAATACTGTGCAGAAAATGGCTTGACCAGGATCAAGACATGGATTCTAGCCCCAGCCTGGCTTCTAACCAGCTCTGTGACCCTGGGAAATTTACGTTACCCTTGAGCCTCAGTTTCCTCATTTGTAAAATGGGGGAGAGTCCGACCTGCCTTTTCTACTTTGGGGTTTTCAGAGGACCAAATGAGGCAAGATACACCTGTCAGAATGACCATTATCAAAAAGATGAAAGATGACATGTGTTGGCAAGGGTGTAGAGAAAAGGGTACCCTTGTATACTGTTGGTGAGAATGTAAATGAGTACAGACATTATAAAAAACAGTATAAGGCTCCTTAAAAATTAAAAATAGAACTACCATATGATCCAGCAATCCCACTACTGGGTATATATATCCAAAGGAAATGAAATCAGTGTGTTGAAGAGATATCTGCACTCCGAGGTTCACTGCAGCATTATTCACAATAGCCAAGTTACGGAATGAAGATATGAAGTGTCCATCAATGGATGAATGAAAAAGAAAACGTGATATATATACGTAATAGTATTACTCAGCTTTAAAGGAGAAAATCCTATCATTTGTGACAACATGGATGAACGTGAAGGACATTATGCTAAGTGAAATAAGCCGGGCACAGAGAAGCAAATACCACATGATCTCACTTATATGTGGAATCTAAAAAAGTTGAACTCATAGAAGCAGAGTAGAATAGTGTTTACTAAGGGCTAGGGGTAGGGGTGTTGGGGAAATGTTGGTCAAAGGATATAACATTTCAGTTTAACGGGAGGAATAAGTTCAAGGGATCCATTGTACAACATGGTGACTTTAGTTAGTAAGAAGGCACTATATACTTGAACTTGCTAAGAGAGTAGATTTTAAGGGTTGCCACCACATTAAAAAAGTATGTGAGGTAATGCATATGTTGATTAGCTCAATCTGGCCATTCCACAGTGTCTACATTATTTCAAAACCTCATGTTGTATGAGGAGCTGTATGAAGGGCTCTGTGGACGCTGCAGCAGCTTGCTGCTCAGAGCCAGGACTGAGAAGCAGTTGCAGGAGTGTCACCTGGGAGCTTGCTGGAATTGCAGAATCTCAGGCCCCCAATGGAATCAGAACCTGCATTCTAACAAGACCCCTGGGTGGTTTATGTGCGCATGAAAGTTTGAAAATACTGCTCTAAAGGGTTGTTTACTATAATAAAAAGAGTTATCAGAGCACTCCAGAGGAACTTGATTTTTAAAAATATAAAGCTCAAGCAGACCTATGTAAAGAAAGGCCAGGCCGCCCTCACCCCCACCCGCCTCTGGATGGGGCAAAGGTTTCCCAAAAGTGACCATGCTTATTTGAGACAGGGGTTCTCTTGGTTTCTAGGTGCCTCCCATCCTCTGAGAGATGCCCCCAGGGGAAATCATGGGCCTTTTTCACCTATGCAAATGGAGCCTGCCCATCAGAGCTGGCATTTGGGGCCAGGGAGATGGGGTGGGGCGATGGCACTGCCACTCTTATTGCGCTCATAGTTAACACATTCTGGGCTGGATGCCTCCCAGATTCCTCCCAGATAATCTCATTAGCTGCCAAAGAGAGCCCAAGCCACATGAAAATGAAGCCACTGAATTCACATTGCTCCTCTGGAATGTCCTCCAAGACACAGCATGCACTCTTCAGGATGGGAGCTATGGAGTGGCATGGGTGGCTGCCAGAGGCCTGTCCTAAAGCTAGCAGGAAAGGATGTGGGGTCACAACCTGGGCACCACCTCTGTCCATTAAAAGAGGTGCCACTAAGTGGTTGCTGGCAGCTGTCCCTGCCCCGGTCTTACCAGCTTCTGTGAGAATCCCTTGGCCCTGCCCGGGCCCCTGGAAATTCCAGGTGGGACTCAGGGACTTGCCTCCACACAGCTCTATCCTTCTTCCTCCGCTTCCACATCCTCCAATTTCCTCTCTGCCTCTGGCTCCCAAGCTGTGACACATTCCCTTCATTTTCTACAAAGCAGGTTATTTCCCTTTTGGACAAATTTCTAAATTTTTCTAATTAACTAATTGGGTTGGGTTGAAGCCTTGTACCATTTGTAACCTGTAATTACTAGAAAATTGCCATGGTAACCACACTACTAATTAGCCACAATTTATTGCCATGGCAACCGGACCATAACAGAGATGTTACCCACACCTCCTTCTCGGCAAGTTGGCTGCATAGTTGGAGAGCAGGTGAGTCGACAGTCAGGAAGCTGGCCTCCTGGGCGCCAGTCCCAGCAGCTTTAACGATGGGGGCCCAACTAGGGGCTGAGGTGGGGCAGCCAGGTACCTGCACCCCTCACTGATGCCACAGGGAGATGACTCCCAGGTCGACAAGCAAATCTTCAAACCAATAGAATCCACCCATCATTATGTAGGCTGCCATGCCTACTCCCTACCAGGCCAATGTCAAAGGCCAATTATTCAGTAAATGTCTTCTACCAGGACTTTCCCCTCCTCTCCTCTCTCCTTTGTCACACCCTCCCTCTCCTCCATCTCTTAAGGTTTAGCACACACCAAATTCGGTCACCCAGGGGGCTGTTAGGAACATCTTTATTTAGCTTTGGAGAATGATGTTCTAACAGGGAATTAACTCCACCTTGCATCAATTAATTCTTTTATAATTTGAGGCCAGCGCATTCTCTTGGGGCTGGAGAGGCAGCACTGGTGGTGGGAGACACCACAGGACCGGGGGTCAGAAAGTCCAAATTTGAGCTGTGTGACCTTGGGCTCATTACTGAACCTTCCTGGGCTTCTGTTTTCTCAGCTAGAACATAAGAGTGGTAATAATAATGGCTCCTTCTCGGGGTTGTCATAAATATTAAGTGAGCTGGTCTTTGGAAGGTGCCTTGGAAAATGTCAGGTGCCACATAGTCATTAGCTGGGACTATTTACCACCTGCTGGGTGAATAATATCCCTTTATTTTTCCCAGCACTTTCAAGCTTCAAAGGCCTCCTTGTTCGGCTGTTGGGGTGAGTGCTCCTCCCTGCCCATCCCTGCTGAAGGCTTCTGCTCACTCTGCCCGCCAGGCTGGGTAGGGGGTGGGGTTAGAGGGAAAAATGTCCCTTTGAGGTCTCCATTTCCTCCAGCCACATTCTGCCACCCTGATGATCTGTTTATTGAGCCCAACCCTGATAGGGCAGCCTTGGTTGTCCTCAAGAACCATCCCTCTACCTCTGAGCCCTGGCACGCTGGCAGTGCAGACCAAAGTACAAGTCAGGTGCAGGCAATCCATCTCTCAGACTGCATCTGGGCCAGCCCTCAGGGACTGGGGGGTGAGACAGGGAAAGGGGGGGTGGTGAGGAGAGGGTGTGTGCATGCCGCTGAACTTCTCCAAGCTGTGGATCTGAGGACCCAGGGATGAGGCAGCACACGGATTCACGGTGCTAAGGTAAAGCCTCTCGGTTCCTGCCTGGCCTCTGCGCCTCCCCTCCTGCAGGATCATGGGAAGCATGCTCTCCAGGCCTCAGTTTCCTTCCTGTAAAGTGGGTGGGAATTGAGAAGATCTCCAAGACTGCTACTAGCTTACTTTGCAATGAATGAATCCTCCAGGGTGGACACAGGATAAGCGTGTTGGGGGCCGATCCCTGTGCCCATCTAGCCCTGCACCCTCTGCATCAGCGGAGACTCTGAGGTGAGCCCCCTCTGCCGGGGAACTTGGCCATCTGCTGAATAGAACCTTAACAGAAACATGTTTCTGGTGGATGCCACGATTCACAGGCTGCCAAGAGCATCCAAGATATCGTAAATGAGTAGGGCAGAGATGCTGGAAACGTGGTGCAGGAATGGGCAGAGAGTGTGCGTGTGCGTGTGTGTGTGTGCACATGTTGCAGAATGGGGTGTGAGGATCAAGTACGGGATGGTAACAGGGTCTCTCATCCTAAATTTCCTGAAAAATTATAAGACAAGATAACTGTGTAGGTGCTGGTGTTGCCACTCCCAAGCCTTCTGGGAGCCTTCAGAAGCTGCGCAGGACTTGACCATTCTGTGTGGTGGGCATTAGACAAGGACACACCCACCCTCGTCCTTCCTGCCCTGTGTCTGCAGAATGTTAAGGCAAGGGGTGGGGCAGCAGGACAGGCCCCATCATTTGTTTCCTCTCGACAGAGGAGGGATTTGCAGTGGCAAAGCCTGGGGGTGTAGCCTGGGGGTATAACCTGGAGTGGCTAGCCACAGGCTTGACATTTCTTTAAAATCTCCTGTGTTAGCTGAGAAAAATGCACACAAAAATTACATTTCAATTCTGTAACATATCTGCGTTTGTTTTAAAAGAAACATAATGTTAGCCCTGATACTCATCAAATGCATCTGACACCCCTGGAAAATGGTCTCTGTGTGTCCTGGGCTTTGAGTACCCCAGCAGGCCCATGCTGCACTCCCTGGGGGTCCCAGGCCCTGGCTTGGGAGCCTGTCACTCCAGCCCTGCCTGGTCCTTGGCTGTCAGATCCGGCTTCACTTCCGATGAAAGCCCAGCGCCCGCCTGGGAAGCTAGGAGGCCCCTTGGCCCCCACTCTGTGGCCCCTGGTTGAGTTCGCTGGTGAGGATCTGCCAGAAGGCCTCAGCTGGGCTCTAGGCGTCTCCGTCTCCTTCAATAATGACTTCCTATAAATCAGGTCTGCCCTCCGCTTTGTTCCACACCGCTCCCAGCCAACAGCAAAACTCCCCACCCGACATCATAAATCCACCTTCATTTTCTTTCTGAATTTCTTTTAAGGCTTCTTTAATCACCACCTTGCAGCCTGGACAGATGCTGCCTCAAAGGGTGAGGCTAAAATGCAGAGTTCCTGGGGAGGAGGCAAGGCCTGCGGGAGGCCGGGCAGGTGGGAAGGAGAGCAGAGAGATGAACTCCAGGGGGGATGGGGATGAAGATCCCACTGGCCATGCTCAGGACTGGAAGTTTGGGGGGACACACAGAGAATGTTTCCCAGGCAGGGGCTGGGCCTGTTTCTCTGGTGCACCTCCCTGTGCCTTGCACAGTGCTCCCTATACCCAGGAGATGCCCAGCAGAGAGCCCTGGCATTGCTCTGGCAGAGCCTCAGAGCAGGAGGTATTGGTATTTGCTATACTCTGTAGGCACCATCCGTATGCCAAGCCATGTGCCAGCCATGTCCCATGTGCACCTCCTTTCATTCTCACAACAGTCCCATTTTGAAGGCGAGAAAACTGAGGCTGGGAGAATAGTGTGCCCACTACTGCCTAGGCTGTAATGCACGGGGTAGGCTGAACCTGCACCTGTGGCCTGGCTCCAAACCCCGTCCCCTCACCTGCTAGCTCAATGCCCTCAGAGAAGCTGAGGGGCATGCCCAAGGTCAGTGGGGCCTGGACCGTAGAGGCAGTGCAGGACCCTTGCTTCCCATCTTTCCCTCCTCTGGTTCCATCTGGTTCCATGCCAGGGCCTTGGCCATGGCCAGAGCCCAATTTCCAGGATTCCCAGGCAGGGCAGCTACCGGCACTGTCCTGGCTTCAAGAGGCCTCAAGCAGCTGGGGAAGCTGGGGACCAGGGGATGGGAGAGTGGTCTTCCTGCTGCCCCAGTCTCTCTCCCAATCTCTCGCTCGGCCACCCTCCCGGGGCCCTCGAGTCCCCCGAGAGCCGGCACACTGGCCACTAGATGGCACTGTGACCCAGCAGAGCAGCTGCAGCCACGGGAATGGATAATGTCTAGAGAGGAGGCCTCCCCTCCCCCTCCCGCAGGGCCGAGGGCCGGTGCCTGGGTAGCACCTTTGCCCGGCCTGCCCCGGGGTGGCTGGACCTCCCCCGCTGCCTGAACACTCAGCCAGGCAGCTGCTTCAGCCACAACCACCTGGGTGGGGCTGCCTCAAGTCCGGGTGCCAGCCTGGGGCTGTCTTCCGAGTGGGTGTGGGCCTCCCCTCACAGCCCCTTCCGTCTTGCAGGATGGCAGGATTCTCAAGCTGGAGGTCATCGGAAAGGTCAGCGGGCTGTGGCAGTTTAGGCATCAGGAGGAGATGGGCTCTAAGTGCCAGCTCTCTACAAACCTCCTGTGTGACCTTGGGCGAGTCCCTTCTCCCTGGATCTCGCTCTGTTCTTTGTAAAATGGGAGGTTCTCCCAGGTCGTACAGCTGTCTAGCAGGCAGGTGCTGTGTGGCTTGGCTCCAGGGACCTCCCAGCTCCCTGAGTGCACATCTGGACGTGGCCTGCCCCTTCCGCCTGCTTCCCTCCCAGCTTCTCAGGACCCCTGGCACTGGAGTGGTGCTGAGCGCTGGCCACGCGCCCAGAGCCTCAGCCATCAGGCCGGGCTCAGCACGGCGGCCCTTACATTTGGGGTCCATTCCTGGGGCTCGGGGGTGGGGGGAACTCTGGGCTGGTTTTCCAGCCAGATGTCCATATGTCATTAGCTGAGTGACAAGGGGGGCTGCAGGGTAGTGTTGGGGGGCTTGGCGGGCAGGGAAAGGGTGGGCTGGAGAAGGCGGGCCGACAGAATAGTAACATGGCGGGCCAGATAGGTTCTTGTCAGCCAAATGGCTTTTGGAAGTCTGCAGAGCTGCTCAAACGTGTCCTCTGGGCACGCCAGCTGCCCCGGCCTCCCTCTGCACCGAAGCTGCTGCTTCTTCCTTGAACTGCCTGTCCTTCTAGCCCAGCCGGCACAGTTGGCTGCTGCTTCCATCCCCACCGTGCTCCTCAGCTGCCTCCTCTGGGTCTCCTCCTTCCCCCTCCTCGGTTCTGTGCCAGCCCAGTCAGCGTGAACAATGCCCCCTTCGTGCTGAAACCCAGCTGCAACCTCCAAATTCTTTTATTCTGCGTCTAGCCTGCTCTCCCAGTCTTTACCTCCCTTCCACCTCGTCATTTTCAAGTGCTTCCTCCCCTCAGTGCACCCCCTTCCCTTGCAAGATCAAGGCACTTAATTGCCAAGCCAGCCCAGTGCACAGAACTGGGAACTATTCAGAAAAATTGACTGTACAAATCTAGGCTGAAGCGCCTGCATGTTTATTTCTTTTCCGGGGGAAACATGGTTTATTACTGACACAGCCTTTCCATGGTACCTTCACGTGCGGAGCTCTCAGGCACTTGGATGGGGCTTGAGCTGTGCTAACTATTTTATTGTCTAGTCATTTGTTCCCAGAAACTTTGTCAGACAGGTCAACATTAATCTCCCCCTTTCACCAGGGTGAAAGGTGGTTAGAGAAAGGCATCGTAAACTCAGGAGAGGCAGTGACAACCCTTTCTGGGCAGGACTTTGAGATGATGCCACCACCCAGGTGTCTGGAGGCAGGGGGGTGCCCCAAAGGACCCCTCAACCATCCTTCCAGCCCCAGGATTCAGACTGAGGAAGGCTGTCACTTTGGAAGCCTCTGCTGCACACTTTGGGATGGATATGTCGGGAAGGCTGACCAACAAGAGGATCTGTCTGTCCCAAGTGCAGGTCAGGTGTGAGTGTGGCTTAAGTTCACATGACAAGTTGTTGTGTAAAGCTCTGGCTTCCTGATTTTTGGCACCCAAAACAGGAACTGGATTGCTCTGCCATCAGCAGTCTATTGGCAGATTATCAGAGTTTAGTCAGCAGCCGTGCTGGAATTAGAAAAACAGCCTTGCCTAGAAAGATCTCCCTGTCAGAGACTCTGACAATAGGTCCCCCATCCAGAAAGATGAGGGGGGAGCGTGCCTTCAAAAAAAAGTGCTGGAGAGGTTTTGGAACAAGAACACAATTCTTTGAGCTCAGTTATCCGAGACAGGACCCAGCTGAAGCCTAGGGATTTAGCACTCAATTCCTGGTTGCTTATGTGTAAGTAAATAATTTCATCTGCGATTTGGCAATAAAGAATGCTTTAAATCTCGGCTTTTGTGATTTGTCAGTTTTCTCCTACAGAACCTGCTCACCCATCATTGAGGTTACCAGAGGGAGTGGGGCAAGAGGTTCCAGGGAGAGAATGATGTTGTGATGATGTGGTTCTCACATCCATTTTCCAGTAAGCCAGATGTCCCCTCTTGGGTGCCCTGAAACTCATCCCTGCCAGACATCTCACCAACGCTTGGAGAGGCAGTGTGGGAGAGGCCTTCTGTGGGTGGCAGGATGGCATAGAGCCTTTATTTCCCCTCCCCAGGGACATAAGGCCACCCTTTCCTTGTGGTCTCTGATGAATTAGACTCAGCCTTGCAGGGCCCCGGACCCCAACCCCAGCCCCTCCAGCACACCGCCTCCCACATCACTCTGCGTACCTGTATATTTGCTGACCCCAGCCTCAGCAGCCACATCTCTGAGAGCCAGAATGCCCTGGGAGAGGTCACTGGCCTCAGGGTCCATTTCAATGAGGGCATCAGGGCCCACATTACCATAGGCGTAATTGGCAATGTAGATAGAGTAGCGTCCAGAGCCCTGAGGAAGAAGGGAAGGAAGCGGTGAGCAGGCCCACCTTGGCTCATCCCAGAAACCACCCCCGCCCCACCCCAGGTAGGACCATAGCTCTTTCACAGGGTTGGGTTCTTCTCCCCAGGTCTGTTGCGAATGGCCTTGTAGGCCGTGCATGGCGCACTTCCAGAGGGGCTTTTCACAAAGGCTGCCATGTGAATGACACTCCCGGGAGTCGTACAACAAAGCAGTCTGCTTCTCCTTCCATCCTGTTCCAGAAGAACACATCCCTCCCTCTCCCCCACAACCACCTTTTTATAGACAATTTTCTAATGTGCCTCCCTCCAGCTGAGCTCTCTCCAGCTGCCAGCCAGGGTAGCTGCTCAATAAATATTTGCTGATTGATTGATCTACCAATTCTCATTATTCTCAGTCTCTCTCTCTTCCATTCAATCTCACTCCAGCCAAGATGACAAGCAAATTCCTGAGCCATCTCCCTCCGCCTGTTCCCACCCTGCGCTTCTTCATTCCCCTGTTTTGGTAGCACAAGAGGCACAGATTTGCAGGGGTCCTACTTCCCTCTTCCATTCCCTTATTTCCCCCGTATTACCAGGAAGAAAGATTATATCACTTCCGTCTTTATAACACTGTCTCAAAGATTCGCTTTTCCCTTCGCATCCAGGAGCAGCCTTGGGCACCAGCTCCTCTGTGCAAGAGTCATTCTCTTCACTAGTCCAAAACACCGCTGATGAAAGACTCTTCTCTTCTGCATGTTGTTATAATGGTGCTATTTCTTCAACGGATGACTTCTTCCCAAAAGATCCACATACTTTCTAAATCAGTTTCTGGCTTTTCTCTCATCCTTTTCATCACTTCCCTCCAATTAATTACACAGTAAATATTTCTTAAGCTCCAACGATGTGCCAAGTGCTGTGTTATAAATGTACTTAAGACAAAATCTCTGACTGTAGGTTGCTTATAGTCTAGTTTGAAAGACAAGCCATAAACCTAAAAGGACCTAAGAGAAACTGTTGAGCTCATGGCAACAAGACTGGTGGTTCCCTTTCCTTGCTTCAATTTCTCATCCATTGGCACCATGAGCACAATTCTTGTTCCACCGAACTGTTCAGCAACTTTATATCTTTGTGGGTTTTTTGGTGTGTGTGTGTTATTTTTTTGTTTGTTTGGGTCTCGCTCTGTTGCCCCAGCTGGAGTGCAGTGGTGTGATCTCGGCTCACTGCGGCCTCCACCTCCCAGGTTCAAGCGATTGTCCTGCTTTAGCCTCCCAAGTAGCTGGGATTACAGGCGTGCACCACCACTCCTGGCTAAGTTTTGTATTTTTTAGTAGAGATGGGGTTTCACCATATTGGTGAGGCTGGTCTTGAACTCCTGACCTCAAGTGAACCACCCCCCTGGGCCTCCCAAAGTGCTGGAATTACAGGTGTAAACCACCGTGCTTGGCCAGTCTTTGAAGGGATCATTTTCTTTGAGGAAGCTGATGAAGAGCCACATGAGTCTGTCTAACTGGTGGGTGAGGCCAAGGAGGGAGCTTAGAGTTTCCTGTTAGAATCTCCTGGGTGACACAGATGTATCAACAATGATACAAGCATATGGCAGAGAGCACGGACAGGATTTCCTGGGTGGCCAGAAGAGGAGCTCCTAACCCAGGGGAAGGGCACCTAACCATGGGAAGTTCCGAAAAGCTTTCCTTAAAGGAGTCTCAGTCAGGTGAATTGGAGGGAAAAGAACCTTCCAAGTAGAGATGAGAAAGAGAAGGATGTATGTAGAGAAACTACAGCAGTTAGTTCAATGTTGCTGGAATATAAAATGCAAGGCAGAGAGTGTCAAGGGGTGAAGCTGGAGAAGGAGGTAAATTTGTTCCCTACAGATTGCTCTGCTCCTTCTCTTTTGGTTATCTGAGTCTTTATGCTGCTACCTAGAAATCTGTGCTTTACAAATCTTGCTACTCAAAGTGGTCCCTACACCAGTGGCATTGGTGACCTCTGGGATCATGTTTGAAGTGTAGACCCTCAGCAAACCCCCCGCCCCCTGTAAGACCTGCTGAATCAGAATCTGCATTGTAGCAAGACTGCCATGTGATTCCTGTACAAAACTGAGTTTGAGATACACTGCTTTACAGTACAGCCTATTTTTTTTTTTTTTAGACAGGGTCTCCCTTTGTCACTCAGGCTCACTGCAGCTTCGACTAGGCTCAAGCAATCCTCCCACTCCAGCTTCATAAGTAGCTGGGACTACAGGTATGCACCACCACACCCAGCTAATTTTTTTGTTTGTTTGTTTGTTGTAGAGACAGAGTCTCCGTATGTTGTTGAGGCTGGTCTTGAACTCCTGGTGTCTCAATCTATCCTCCTGATTTGGAAGCCCAAAGTGCTGGTTAAGGGTTTGAGCCACCACACCTGGTCTAACAAGGTTTCTTGATTAGGGGAGAACTTTGAGAAGTTCTCAGCCATCCGAGGCTGTGCAGAATGACTGGATGAAGAGTGAATGAAGGGGCCAAAGAGGAAAGTGCACCATCACAAACCGTTCCCAACCCTACCAGCTGGCAGCAGTCTCATCAACAAATGAGCAATAAGTTCAGTGGACTGAAATTCACTCTGCCAGAAATTAGGATATTTACAAAATTCAGTTATGCCTAGTTCCTTACTTTGATTTATCAGGGGGATAAACTGACAAACACAGATGTGTTACAGTTGTAGAAGACTGCAGAAAATCACATGTGAACTTGACCACGGTAATTCTGGGAGGGTGAGATGATTCCAAGGGAAGGAAGATGTTTCTGCAGCTTTGGGGCCAATGCAGTGGTTCTCACACTTTAGCCTACATCAGAATCACCTGGGGGGCTTGTTAAAACACAGATTTTTTTTTTTTTTTAAACATCTGGCCCCATCCCCTGAGTTTCTGACCAACAGGTCTGGGGTGAGCCATGAGAATCTGCATTTCTAACAAGTTCCCAGATGATGCTGACACTGCTGCTCTGGGAACCACACTTTGAGAACTCTGATCCAGGGCCATTAGCCCGGGTCCCAGTCTAGGGCCTGCCCCTAACTGCTAGTCGTCCTTGGGTAAATCCCTGGCTGCCTCCAGGCTGCATCTCCTCAGATGTTAAATGGGGATCATATTCCCCCTGCTTCCTGGCAGGGTTGTTGAGAAGATTAAATGAGACAACGTATGTGAAAAGTCTTTGAAAAGATAAAAATGCTATATAAACATGAGGCATAATCATTATTGATCAGAGGACGTTCTTGTAAGAGATCAGTTTTGAGCTGGATCCAGAAAGGTGGGTGAGTGATGAGGCAGCTGGCGAGAAAGGACAAGCGGATGTTCCGGGTTTGGAGCAGAGAACGAGTGAGGGGTGGAAGAGGAGAGGGGAGAGAACAGCATGTGGTGGAGTAGGGGCGGGGCTGAGGCATTTATGGAGCAAAAGGTCTCATACTTGAGCATGCATCAGAGTCACCTGCAGGGCTAGCTGAACCCCAGATTGCTGGCCCCACCCCTGGAGTTTCTGATTCAGTCTGTCTAGAGGGTGGAGTGGGGCAGGGCCTGAGAATGTGCATTTCTAGCAATGCTGCTGCCGCTGGCCCAGAGGCTACACTGAGAACCACTGACCAGGTGGCTAGATTAAAAGGCCCTCCCCAGATAGGGGCTATGGGGCTAAGGAAGGATGACTAGGGTGAGTGCTGTAATAAAGTTAGAAACTTGTGTCTGCTATCATTTCACCCAGGGGCAGGGCGGCTGAGGGTTAAAAGGCATCTTCATTTTCAGGCAGGCAAGGTTCAATTCCTGGCTTTGCCTGTTGCTTCATGTGTGATCAAGGTCAAGTTGCCTAATTTCTCAAAGCCCGAGTTTCCATATCTGTCAAATGGGATAGTGATGGCATCTACCTTGTTGGTGTCTTATGAGGACTCAGTAGGACGAGGGAGGTAAAGCTTGTAGCACAAGGCGTGGCATGTCCCTAGTGTAAGAGGTGTTGGCTGTTACTGTTGTCCTTGCTCTTGTGTTTTCCTGCGCCGTGCTGCATTACCCTCTCTCAACTTCCAGGCTGCCCTTGGCCTCTCTCCATTCCTCCCCTGGCAGTCCTCAGGCGCCAGGGATGGCCGAGGCGGTGGCTGGACTCAGAGAGCAACCTCCTCTGCTGGCAGATTGACTGTAGGGCTTCTTTCTAGTTCTCTGAGGCCTGGGAGACTGAAGTCAGGGGCTGAGCAGGGTGTGAGCAAGCTTCTGGACTCCTGCCTCCTGTGCTGCCGTGCCAGGCCTTTTTTTTTTGCATTTCACATAGTGCCTTTGTCCTGTGGTTAAATGCGTGGGTGTGCGGATGACCTTGTTAGGCAGAGTGCATCTCTTTGTGATTAACCTGCACGCCTCTCCCTCCAGTTCTCTGAGAAGTTGCCCACGTTAGCTGAGTGTCAAAAGCCTTGGTCCTGAACGGGTGAGATGGGAAACCAGGAGGAGGCTGGGAAGAAGCCCCTAACCGTGACCAAGTCTGGCACCCCCCAGCTCCACCCCACACTCTGGGGCTGTTCACAGAGCTGCCTCCCCATCCCCTCCCACCAGGCAGGAGTCCAGGTGGCACAGATTCAGGTCAGGCTAAATGTGGCTTCACAGCCCAGCTTGGCTTCTCTTCCCAGCACCAGCTTGTTAAGAAATAAATATTTATACCTGGCACCTGCCTTCTCCCAAGGCCTGGAGGCCCCTGCTGTAAAGATTCACACTGATTCCCCAATCCCCTCGGTGCCATCTCAATTCCAAAGTGAGCCAAGCCTCTTGCCCCCGCCCCCAGAATGGGGGCCATAGACACTCTTGTGGCAGCCGGGCAGCAGCTGGGCCCCTGATTTAGTGATGACTGTTTACAAAGCCAAGGAGGTGGGCGGCAGGGGAGCAGGTGACAGGAGGGATAAATCACCTTTGCAGCAAGCTGCTGGCTCTGGCGAGGCCTGCTGGGACCCAAGCCTGGGTGGGCGGCTGCCCCCTCCTTGGGCAGATGGCTGCAGCGGCTCATGCCCCTTCCCACTCCATCTTTCCTCCCCGTCCAGTTTGGGTGGGGCACCTCTGTGTAGGGTGCACTTACAGGGCATGAAAACGTTGGAGGAGCTATTGATGAACTAAACTACTTGTATATTGAGGCAACCCTCCCCTCACCTACCTAGGAACCTCTCCATTGGGCCTTCATTTACTCCGTAAATACTTACGAAGGGCCCCACAGCTCAGTGCCTGGCACACAGGAGGCACTTAGTAAATGTTAGTTGAGTGAATGAATGCAGGCAGGATTTACAGCTAGAAGAGGTGGATTCATGTCCTAGCCACACCACTCAACTGCTTTGGGCTCCCATGCAAGTCACTGCTCCAAGCTAGGCTTCCATCCCCACAAGTGTCCTGAGGACACAATGATCCCTTGGCTGGCTTCCTCACTGGTTTCTGGGAGGGCTGAATGGGAGACAGGATGTGAAAGGTACAAAACAATGCATTCTGCAAGTCTTAGTTGTTGGTATTTAGCACCCAATCTATCCAAGACACCGTGGGAGCTGCCACTCTGTCAGGGGACGTCTACACAGTGGCTCCTCTCCTAGCTCTCACATGGCTTCTCCCCAGGTCCCCCATGCACCCCTGCACTCACCTTTCTGTCCACACAGGCCACAGAACGTCCGGCAAAGAGGCTGGCCACCCCACGGGCCACGTTGACCTCATCACTCAGAATGTCTTCCCACCGGTTATTGCGGAACTTGAACAACTTGTCGGTGTATGTGGCCACCCCTGGAGAGAGGAGGAAAGGGAGGGCTGGTGGACAGTGGATCAGGGTCTCAGTTCTGATCTCTGGGTATGTCTCATGGCACCTGCCACAAGGTTCTTGGGACCGGAGGAGGATGGGTCATCTGCGGCAAGGAGGACCTCAAGCAGGAGGTCCTCTGTGTTTGGGGAGCACTCAGATGTTTCCAGTTGAGGGAAGAGACTCTGAGTCTCATGAAGATGGCTGGCCCAGACCTCAGGAACTAGGGAAGAAGTGCCACTGCTGCAGTGTGACCGAGATGACTCTCAGCAGCTGGATTTCGTGCCCTGCCCCGTTCTCCTGCAACAGCATCAAGGAGCTCCTGGGACTGCAATACCGTAACATCCAAACTCAACCCAAGATGACTCTTTCTCCAGGTGTTGTCCCTACATTCTCTACTGGATCGTAGGACCTACCTGATTTGGGTCTCAGAAGAAATGGTTCTGGTTCATGAGTAGGTCGCAGTCCTCCCTGAGGAAGGGGATGGAAGTTGAGCTCTGACGGGGTGAGAAGTGAGGGATTGTTCTGCCTGGGGTGTGATGAGTTTGGGCAGCTCTGGGAGCCCCTGGTCCCAGGACTGGGGAGCCTCAGAAGGCAGTGGTTTTCACCTCTTTTGGATTACTGGCCCCTTTGAGAACTGGAGGGAGGTGAAGGACCTTCAGCTCAGGGAGTTGCAGGTTTGCACCACACAATATGCCATACGTCATTTCAGGTCTGTGGCCCTCTGGAGCTCGTTCGTGACTAAGAAGCCTTGTTCTGGGGAAGTGGGAATAACTGCTGGTGGCTGAGGCCGTAAGCCTATTCAAGTGACCACTTGAAAGGCAGAGCTCTCTCCTCCACCATCACCCTTAGTTAATTTCTTGTTAATGCAAGACCCCGAGTGTTCATAGTTTAGGGGGGGCCTCGTTCTATCCCCTGGGCTGGAGAGGAAACACAGGGAGAGGAGAAGCTGAAGGAATCAGGGAAGGTGAGCTTGAGGAAGAGTGGGCTTGGGGACAGAACCCTGAACTTGACTGTCTGGACCAGGGAGAAGGCAGCAGGCTTAGACTGAGGAGAGACAGCATGGCGCAGGGGCACCAAGAGCTCCGGGTGATGGAAATTATCTGGAGCCCCAGCGCTGGTTCTGCTTCGATTCTACTTCTAGGCTCCAGACTTGAGGCATGCTGCCCAGTATCTCTGAGCCTCGGTTTTCCTACTTGGGAGCGGGGATGATAGTAGTTACAGAAAGTTTACTGTGAGGAATAAATGAGATGATGCACACTAAAGGTTTGGGATAGTCCCCCCACCAAAGTGGTAGCCTTTTTTCGACAGAAATGATTTTTCTCATGTTATAGATGAACTACTTTCCAAGGTTCTTTAGAGACATCAGCCCTGCACTGCAGGGGTTCGATGAAAACCAGTGATTCTGTGAGTGGGTGTGTGTGAGGGTGGGAAGTGTGTGAGTGTGAGCATGAGCGAGAGTGAGCATTGTGAGAGTGAATTGTGTGTGTGGATGTGTGAATGAGTGAGAATGTGCAGGAGTAAGAGCCAGCGTGAGTGACAGTAAGAGTGTGTGAGTGGGCTGGGCACGGTGGCTCATGCCAATAATCCCAGTACTGTGGGAGGCCGAGGCGGGCAGATCACTTGAGCCAAGGAGTACTAGACCAGCCAAGCAACATAGCAAGACCCCATCTCTACAAACCACCCCCCAAAAAAATTAGCCAGGTGTGGTGGCACATGCCTGTAGTCCCAGCTACTCAGGAGGCTGAAGCAGGAGGATCACCTGAGCCCAGGAGGTCGAGGCTGCAATGAGCTGCGACTGCGCCACTGCACTCCAGCCTGGGTGACAGAACAATACCCTGTCTCAAAAAAAAAAAAAAAAAAAAAAAAAAAAAAAAAAAAAAAAGGTAAGAGTTTGTGAAAGCAAAAGCAAGTGTGTGAGAAAAAGAGTGAGCATGAGAATGAGTGTGTAGGTGTGAGAGTGAGACAATGGCTGAGCACGAATGTGTGTCAGCATGAGTGGGTGTGTGAGTGAGGGTGTGTGGTGAGTACACGAGAGTAAGAGTGTGTCAGAGAATAAGAGTGGGCAAGGACGAGTGAGTGTGAGAGAGTGGGCATGAGTGAGTTGAGAATGTGGGTATGAGTAAGAGTGAGTGTGGGCATGAGTCAGAGTGAGCATGAGAGTGGGGATGAGTGAGAGTGAGTGTGAGGGGGTGAGAGTGAGTGTAGGGGGTGAGAGTGAGTGTGGGGGGATGAGTGAGAGTGTGAGGGGGTGAGGAGTGAGTGTGGGGTGGGAGTGAGTGTGGGGGATGGTGAGAGTGTGAGGGGTGAGTGGAGGCATGAGGAGGGTAGTGTGAGCATGAGAGGGGGAGTGGGTGAGGGGACAGTGGTATGAGGGGCGAGTGAGTGTGGGGGGATGAGAGTGAGTGTGGGGGGATGAGTGAGAGTGAGTGTGAGGGGGTGAGCATGAGGGTGAGTGAGAATGAGCAGAGGAGGGGGTGGGTGAGTGGTGTGAGGGGGGCAAGAGTGAGTGTGGGGAGTGAGTGTGAGGGCAGAAGTGAGTGTGGGAGTGGTGAGAGTGAGTGTGGGGGCGAGTGAGCGTGAGAGAGGGGAGTGAGAGTGTGGGGGATGAGTGAGAGAGTGAGTGGAGAAGGTGGGGAAGGTGAAACACAAACAAGTAAGTATGAAATAAATGTAATGTCAAAGACAAATAAGTAAGGCGTAAGAAACGCGCAAGTGGCAATAATTAAAATGTCAATCTTGGTGTAAAAGGGAAGTAATAGATCTAGAGGTGTGGGTGAAGTGGGCAGTGCCAAGAGAGGGAGGTGAGTGAGAGTGAGTTTGGGGGGTGAGTGTGAGAGGGGGTGGGTGAGAGTGAGTGTGGGGGTGAGTGTGAGGGAGTGAGTGAGTGAGTGTGGGGGTTGAGTGTGAGGGGGGTGGGTGAGAGTGAGTTTGGGGGTGAGTGTGAGGGGGGTGTGTGAGAGTGAGTGTGGGGGTGGGTGTGAGGGGAGGGTGAGAGTGAGTGTGGGGGTGTGAGGGGGTGAGTGGGTGTGGGGTGAGTGTGAGAGTGAAGTGAGTTTGGGGGTGAGTGTGAGAGGGGGTAGGTGAGGTAGGTGTGGGGGTGGGTGTGAGGGGGTGGAGTGAGTGTGGGGGGGTGTGAGGAGGGTGAGAGTGAGTGTAGGGGGTGTGAGAGGGGGTGAGTGAGAGCGAATGTGGGGTGCATGTGAGGGGGTGAGTGAGAGTGAGTGTGGGGGGTGAGTGTGAGGGGGTGAGTGAGGTAGTGTGGGAGTGAGTGTAGGGGGTTGAGAGTGAGTGTGAGAGGGGGTGGGTGATGGTGAGTGTGGGGGTGGGTGTCAGAGAGGAGGTGGGTGAGAGTGAGTGTGGGGGTGAGTGTGAGAGGGGGTGAGTGAGAGTGGAGTGTGGGGGTGGCAGGTGGGGGGGTGAGTGAGAGTGAGTGTGGGGGGGTGAGTGTGAGAGGGGGGTGAGAGTGAGTGTGGGGTGAGTGTGAGGGTGGGTGAGAGTGAGTGTGGGGGTGAGTGTGAGAGGGGGTGAGTGAGAGTGAGTGTGGGGTGGGTGTGAGAGGGGTGAGTGAGAGTGAGTGTGGGGGTGAGTGTGAGAGGGTGAGTGAGGTGAGTGTGGGGGTGAGAGGGGAGTGAGTGAGAGTAGGTGTGGGGGTGAAAGGTGTGAGAGGGGGTGAGTGTGGGGGGTGAGTGAAGTGAGTGTGGGGGTGAGTGTGAGAGAGTGGAGTGAGAGTGAATGTGGGGTGAGTGTGAGGGGGTTGAGAGTGAGTGTGAGAGGGGAGTGAGTGAGAGTGGGAGAGGGGGGTGAGAGTGAGTGTGGGAGTGAGTGAGAGGGGGGTTGAGAGTGTGAGGGGGTGAGTGTGAGAAGGGGTGAGGTGAGGTGGGTGTGGGGAGTGAGTGAGAGGGGGTAGTGTGAGAGGGTGAGTGAGAGTGAGTGTGGGGAGTGAGTGTGAGAGGGGGTGAGTGTGAGAGGGGGTGAGTGTGAGGGGGGGTGAGTGTGAGAGGGTGAGTGAGAGTGAGTGTGGGGGTGAGTGTGAGAGGGGGTGAGTGAGTGTGAGTGTGGGGGTGAGTGTGAGAGGGGGTGGGTGAGAGTGAATGTGGGGGTGAGTGTGAGGGGTTGAGGAGTGAGTGTGGGGGAGTGGTGGGAGTGTAGAGGGGGTGAGTGAGTGTGGGGGAGTGAGTGTGAGAGGGGTTGAGTGTGAGGGGTGTGAGGGGTGAGTGAGAGTGAGTGTGGGGAGTGTGAGAGGGGGTGAGTGTGAGAGGGGGTGAGTGAGAGTGGTGTGGGAGTGAGTGTGAGAGGGGTGAGTGTGAGAGGGGGGGTGGAAGAGTGTAGGAGGGTGAGTGAGGTGAGTGTGGGGGTGAGTGTGAGAGGGGGTGGGTGAGAGTGAATGTGGGGGGTGAGTGTGGGGGTTGAGAGTGAGTGTGAGAGGGGGTGAGTGAGGAGTGGGAGAGGGGGTGAGAGTGAGTGTGGGGGAAGTGAGTGTGAGAGGGGGTTGAGTGTGAGGGGGTGAGTGTGAGAAGGGGGTGGTGAGAGTGAGTGTGGGGTGAGTGTGAGAGAGGGGGTGAGTGTGAGAGGGGGGTGAGTGAGAGTGAGTGTGGGGGAGTGAGTGTGAGAGGGGAGTGAGTGTGAGAGGGAGTGTGAGAGGAGGGGGTGAGTGTGAGAGGGGGTGAGTGAGAGTGGGTGTGGGGGTGAGTGTGAGAGGGGGGTGAGTGAGAGTGAGTGTGGGGTGAGTGTGAGAGGGGTGGGTGAGGAGTGAATGTGGGGGTGAGTGTGAGGGGTTGAGGGTGAGTGTGGGGGTGAGTGAGAGTGTGAGAGGGTGAGAGTGAGTGTGGGGAGTGTGTGTGAGAGGGGTTGAGAGTGTGAGGGTGAGTGTGAGAGGGGTTGAGAGTGTGAGGGGGTGAGTGTAGGAGGGGAGTAGTGAAATTGAGGGGGTGAGTGAGTGAGTGTGGGGAGGTGAGTGTGAGGGGGTTGAGAGTGAGTGTGGGAG